TAGAGCCATGCCATGCTTTAGCTGCTGCGAGCTTTTTTCAGCACACAAGCACTTCAAAGTGTGAAGCCTATTTTCTCATCATAAAAGGCACCAAAATTCTGTAGACTCCATCCATCTTGTTTGAGAAAAGTCCATGTCACTGAGCTTTGGATGGTTGAAGACTCAACCCATATTGCACTGTCAGCTTTGTTGAAAGTTGCAGAGTATGTCTTGGGGTTGTGTTCCACCAAAGCCCACTCAGAAATCACGCTCATCAGCTTGCCATTGATGTCTGCATGCACCCAGATCTGGCCGGCTTTGATGCTGTTGCCCTGCAATGTGTGGGACAAAAGCCGTTTCCAGCAAGTCCTTGAGCTTCTTGGTGGGCTGACAACTCTTGCTCAGCCTCAATCTTGAGCAAAGGTACCAGGCAATTTCAACTTGGCCAGGTCATGGGACAGGATCTCAGCCATCACACTTTTTTCAAATGTGATTGTCTTGAGCTGTACCTTTTGACCACGTTGCCCTCCCACTTGCAGTCCAAACATGCTTGCAAAAACTCATGGATGGAGGCTGATGTGATGCACCCATGAGGCACAGCCTGGATGCAGTCCAGCACATTTGCCAAGAGCACAAATGCAGCGCACTCCTTGAGGCAGCAGCCTGCTGGAATAACCACAGCTTGCAACAAACATGCAAAAATTGGATACAACGTAAGGCCTTCACTCGCTGTGCATTTGAATGTGTTGGCCTGTTTGTTTGCAGTCTTCGTTTTGCTTGTAAACATGAACTTCAAGTGCGCACAGCCATGCATGGCTTCTCTTTTCAATTTGTTTTTTCGCGCGCACATGTGGGATGACGGCTATCTTGTCTAACAACCGCTCACATCTTCGTCAAGCATGGTCCTTCAAGATGACTCACCGAGGAGAAGTTGACGCAAGGCCTGCGAGCCGCCAAGCGCATGGCGCCGTTCACCAACCCTCAGCAGCGCCAGGCCCTAGTTCAGCGCCACCTAATGTGGCGCCAGAAGCTAATTCAGCGCCAGCCCCCGCAATGCGGCGACGCGGCGCCAAGAACTCATGAGGAGGCCATATCTAGCGCCGTCTTGATGGTGCCGGAGCCGCAATGTGGCTAGTACAGTGCCAGGCCGCAATTCAGCGCCAGGGAAGGTGGCGCCAGGAAAGGCAACGCGGCGCCGCACGGCGTTTTCAGCGCCAAGGTGGAATGACGGTACTCCGTCAGCCGGCGCCCTGTATATATATATATACACACACACATATATATATATATATGTATACATACGTTTTCCTCAGATAGCTGAAAGCTATAGGGGTTCTAATTTGAAAAAAGAGGGGAAGTGATTTGCGAAATTGTTGGGCTGGTGCTAGGGGGCGTGCGGTTTGGGGAGCTGGTGTAGGTGCTGATTGGGGTGCTGTTTGCGGTGCCGATGGCAGTGCGTGTGCATCTTTTCGAGATTGACAGTAGGGTGCTAGGGGGCATGGTTTGGGTGGCGGCGCGCGCGCATTTTTGCCCCTTGACGGTAGAGGTGCTGTGGGACGCAGTTTGTGGGGAGCTGTTTGAGGTGCTGGTGACGGCGCGGGCGCATTTTTGCGAAATTGACGCCCGGGTGCTATCGAGCGTGCAGGTGACGGTGCAGGCGCACGTTTGCATCTTGACTGTAGGGGGCAAGGGGCATGCAGCTTAGGTGGTGGTTTGGGATTCTGTTTGGGGTGCTGGTTGATTTTCGCGAGATTGACGGCTGCTCTTCAGGGTGATGGTGCGGGCGCATTTTTGCTGGATTGACGGCCGGGTTTTGCGTGGGGCGTTGTTCGGGTGTGTGTGTTTTTGAAGGTGCTGGTGTGCAAGAGCTGCTATCTGGGGCCTATGCTGGTGTAATTTTATATTATATTATATCATACGTTATTTTATACATACATGCTACCCCCATGAACTGCCTTTCTAGTATATGTTGCAGCCAAAAAGCGGACATAGGTAGTTTAGGGGGGGGGGGTTGACAATATATATATATATATGTATGTATATATATATATATGTGTAATTACTACCAACTTGCAAGAGTGGAAGGAGATTGGAATTTCACAGAGCACGTGCTTGGAATTCCACGTATCAAGCAAACAGCCTCAGCCGGGTAGTCTTAAGCAACGGCAAAGAAGTCGCAGCGGGCAAAACCAACTGGTGAACTATGTTGAGGCTGTGTTTGCTTGGCCCCGCCTTTGGGTTGCAAAACACACGGGAGGTCCCACATAGGGTTGGAGTCCTTAAATGCAAAGGCAACCGCTGCGTTAGCCAAAGCGCGTAAAAGACACTGGGAACTTAATCTTGGGCAAAGCTGTCCCATTCCCCTTTGACACGTCCCTCAGACAATGCTTTGGAAGAAGCTCCTTCAATGGCTTCGTTTTGGCATTTTCGGGTGGTGGTGGGGGGGGGCGCCTGCAGAAGCAGCCGCCGCCACAGCTGAGGAAGACCCACAGAAGCATAAATGTGTCGCGCGCGCAGACCATGTATGTCGGGACCTACTTGGCCACTCAGCAGGAAGATCAGCGGAAGAAGGTTCTGCAGAGCTACTCGGGAGAAGTGAAGGCTGCTTGGAAGCAAGGCGGACATCACATACACAAACACTTGCTTGCCTCGGAAACAAGATGAAGACGCGTTGTGCGCGCAAATGTTTCAGCTTGACATTGGCCATGGCTGAAAGCTTTGGCTTCGTTTTGCCTGGGAAAGGATGCACACATTACCACTGCAATTTGGCGATTGTCAAACCTTTTCTTTGGCAAAGATGCGGGAAAGGCTTTGCAGTGGGGAAGTTGACCAGGACGAATTCAAAGTGAAATAACGCTTGGTGTAGCGTCCTCGTTTTGTTGTGCCCGCGCAACATAACTGACGTGCCGTTCAGTTGGGTTTGATGTAATGTGGCCTCATACAATTTCCGTTTCGTGGGTACAAGGAAAATGTATGGAGGGGGAGCCCCCGGAGATGTTTCCGCTGGGTTGGGATTCCTCCAAGTCAGCCGGGAAACGTGACCAAAGTGTCATTTTGACCCTGTTTAGTGGAAAAAATGGAAGTTTGGGTTGGTCTCAGGTTTTGCAATATGTAGTTTAGTATGCGCATTACTAGATTTTATATTGCAGGTGCTTCATCTCAGATTCCCGTCACGAAGAAATGGTTTTAGGTGCTGCACCCAAAGAGTTTCAGCGCGGCATTCATTTGGAGGACTAGAGAACCTGTTTCCCAGAGAGCTCTAGGATTCCATGAAAGACGCCCTGCAAGTGCTTCAATCTCCTGCCATTGATTCAAATGCGATGCAACCTTTTGCAAGCTCACAAGCCCAGATCCATTCCGGGCCAGCCATCACTCTATTGCGGCTATGCCGTACATGTCCAAGTCAAGGTATCAACAACTCCTCTGTGGATTTACCCTGTCCACCGGTCTCTGGGGTTTGATTGAAGCTCCTAGCGGGGGCACCCTCCGTAGACGGGCTGGGCCTTAAAATCATCGGCATCAAAATGATTTGATCGATGCGCTCAGAACCAATCTTCCACCGTGTCCGTGCAGATTGGCGGCGAAAACGAGGAGATTCAAAAGGCCACGCCGGCGCTATCACCGGTTGTCTGGCCGGCCTGCGCTGTGAATGGTCTTCTCGACGGGAATGTCGCGTTTCTGCCAGGTGTTTCTTGGCAGTTGATCAATATTATCTTCGGCCCCACACCATGACCATTGGTAGTGTTGAGTGGTTGTCCAACCTATGGTCATCCCATTCAAAGGACCCTTTGATCAACCCCCACTTGCCATGGATTCATTTGGACATTCGACGGCCGACTATGGCGGACTCGGCTCCAGGGCTTGGTATGATGGCCCTTGGTGCAAAATATTCTTCGTCTCCACGGGTTTGCTTTCGACTAAACGATTTTTTAATACCCCGAAAGCCGGCCAGGCTTGCTTGAATGTTCCTTTGAAGGGGTGTCTTCTGACTTGGGCCTGGTCGCTTTGGACTGCTTCGGCTGTGAGTTAGGGAAGGCGTGGGGTTCGTTCAACAGTTGGGCAGCGTTTTTTTTCTTAGAATCAAGGATTTATACAAAAAAGGGAACTGCATCATGTCCGCGTAGGCAATTTAGCTGGGGGGCGTAGGCGCGCGGAGGCATCGCGTAGGCATTTCGCGCACATCCTTGTATTTTTCCTGCGTAGGCGCGCGCGTAGGCACTTGATGGAGTTGTTTGTATTGTCTGAAGCTTTATGTTTTACAATGCATATGGATGGGCATGGGTTTGGCTGAGTTGTTGCAGGCACTGAGAAAAGGGTTCTTGAACCAACATGGCTAAGAATTGTCAAAGCGGCTGGCGGACATGAATTCCCCCCAGATATGTCCATCAAAAGGGTCCCCCAGTAAAACGAACGCCCATATAATGGCGGCTGTCCACTGTTCTAAATGCTGACTCAGAGCCACGACAAAGGGGATCCCTGGGAAGTCAAACATGTTGTCACGCTTTGGCGCTGCAATCATCTTCCACATCATCTGCTCCTTCTACATCATCTGCATCTGTGTCAGACAACGATTGACTTGGGATTGCAAAGCTCGAGCTGGGAAAGCGGCGCGCAATTCTCTTGCGTAGGCGTCCGCGTAGGCGCGAAAAGAGACAAACGTGCGCGCGTAGGCACCCCTTGCAGTCGCGGAGGCGTTGCGTAGGCGCTCGCGTAGGCATGTGTGCAGTGTATAGGCTCCGAGCACCAACAAAAAGAACCTGCCCAGTTGAGCATCTTCTTCGTCTCCTCAGAGCCAAGCCTGAACACACCCTAGCTCATCCGAAACTCCCCCTAAAGCCAACGCGAAGGCTAGCCTTCAAGGTGGCCACCAACCCATGCTAAATGAGAACACCATGACGAGCCCAAGCCCACTCTGAACAAACCCACTCACTTGGCAGGCTCCACTACAAAAGGACGAGCCATCCGATATCCGATATCCGCACAACAGTCATAGGTTCCTGGCCTTGGCCGCGAACTCGGGAATCACATTCTCAGCTTGCCATGTCGAACTTACAGATATCCTGGGGTTCTTGGTTTCTTGGCTACAGGAAAGCCGAGATTTGCAGATTGGGTTGATACAGGATTGGTCCTTCGAGTTGATTGCTGTCCCGCTCCAAGTCCCAAGATCAAACTTTGACACAATCGTGTTGGCTTGCAGTCCTCAATGGAGTCACAAAGCCCTGGAGTGAAACATCGTGCCAGGAACAAGAGTGCAACAGGTAATATGAACTTGGATGATGCCTTACGATCGAAACATGCTGGGACAAGAAGTGGCATCAAAATTCAAGGGAGACAGCCCAGAAGGAAAGCCGACAACATCTTGAAAACAAGGGATAACACGCAAGAGAGACAAGCTAACACCTCGAGAGTCTCATGTAAGTCGATTTTTGCGACGCAGGTCATTGCAGATTCCATCGTCGCATCCGGGAGAATGATTGAAGAGATGGAGGCTTCTGGCCAGAGATGGTGGAAGGAGAAGACCGGCAGAGATACAAAGGCAGGGTCCGACATGGCGACTTTTTTTCTGCGGCTCAACTCGGTGCGGGATGTGCTTGGCCGTGAAACATCGTGCACACAGACTCGTAAAAGTGCTTAGACATGCTATTTGCAAAGGCTTCTGCCTACTTGATTCAAGTAAGTGGCGGCTTGTCTTCTTTTTGTTTCCCCAACCCCAAAAAGGGCACTTTCAGAAGACAGAACCATTTACTCTTGGAAAGAAAAAGCTTTGCGTGCCTGGTCAAAGAGAGCAACTGAGTCAAACTGTTGGAAAGAGCGTCACTTGATAAGCGCTCACGCGACTAAACGTTGTTGAAATGGAGTAAGAAGGATCGACGCGCACACACAAAACACACATTCAATGAGTTGTGTGTGTGTGAGCATGGTTGCTTGCTTGCTTGCTTGCTTGCTTGCTTGCTTGCTTGCTTGCTTGCTTGCTTGTTTGTGACCAATAAAGACAACAAATCGATGTTGCCACTCACCTCGCCCACAACCAAATGATGGTTGGTCAATACCAGGACTTGTTTACCAAGCTTATTTCAAGTTTGTTTGTTCGACCTGTCCTGCAGTCAGCAATGCAACGAAGTAACGAACTTCACATTTCAATTAATGACCATGGTTCCTATTTGCTGAACTGCGGAAAGCTGACAGAGTCTGGGTAGCAGCGCCGAAAGACCATGAACAGGGGTTTGCATTCACCCACTTGGAGATGAGTTGAAATTACAGGTGAGAAGTTAGGCTTTTTTGTTTGGCATTTCCCGATGCTAGGCGTTTGGATTTGCAAACTGGGGCTTTTTGGCATGGCTCCTTTTCGACACGCCTTGCAAAGTGGAAGTGGGCCAATGTTTCGCAAGGGCGCCTGCTTCTCGGTGAATTTCCGTCACACCAAGAAGGGCATGCAGGGCTTGCCCATCGCCCACGTGGATGCCACGAGTGCTGCTCGACGGTTGGTATTTGGAATCCTTCAATGAGATCTTTGGGGTGGATTTGCTTGCTAACAGGCACAAGACCCCGAATGCACACATGGGGCACTGGGAGGCAAACCCATTTGGGGGGTTCAAATTCGTCAACAAAGCTCCCATATGCTCCTGCTGACACATCTGTCTATGGGAAGCGGCTGCTTCGAACCGGGTAAAACCACTAGGAATTCCCACTGGACCGCGCAAAGAGGGAAGACGACCAAACTCTGAAAGCAGGACGTTTTCATAAGAGCTTCAGACTTCATTTTCAGAGCTTCGCCAGTGGCCAGCGGCTCTACGCAGAAGGCTGCTTTTGGGGGGACTTGGGAGTCGTGCAAAGCTTTACTAGATAGCTGTTGGCATCGCTGAGACAAGTTCAGTTGGGGGGGTGGAAAGCGGCTACAGCTTCTCTTTCACTCAAGCGAGCTGTTTTTGTGCGATGCGGGTATGGCCCCTTGGGCAGATCAAAAGCTTCCCGGTCACACATTACGCACTTAAATTCTTGACATCGTTGTGCACACTAAGCACAGCACAGGTCTTGTCGCTCCTTGTGCAGGGTTGTCTCCCATCAAAAAAAAATGGTGAAAGGAGCAGTGCTTTCTGGGCATCTCCGTTCTGTTCCATGATGCTACTGGCACCCAGGTCACAGAGTGGTTCAAGCCGGGCGGCGCCTTTCCAGCAGAAGGACTTGCCAGCTTCGAGGAGAAGTTGGGCATGAACATCTCCGAAGCGTTGACACTTGGATCCTATCTGGATATGGGTCAAAATTAAACCACTACGGGACGGAGGTTTTAGTCCATGTTTCCATTTACCAGGGTTTCATTTTGGGTACCTCTTTTTGACCCACACCTATCTCACTCCAAGTGCTGGGTCAGTTTCGGGCTAGGCAAAGCTCAGTCTTGATACGATAGCCCAAGCCAAAAGATAGAGGAACGCTCAAGTTCTGCAGCCAATTCGTGTGTTACCCTTCGTTAAGCACAGGCCAGGTGTTCGTCACAAAGGGAGAATCCCAGGCAAGGAACGAGTGAAGAACCTTTGATGCCATGGAGCCGAAGATGATGACCTCTGACCCAAGTTGATGTTTCTTTTACATCGGAGTTTGCATCCAGTCCAAACAATGACCCCAGGGGCCAAAAGACATGCAGGCAGTCCCCGTAAGCTTTTTCGTTGTGCCCCCAAAACGACTAGGAAACATGTGGTGGTCACCTTCAACGAGTGGATCAACGCAGCTGGGGAGCCCATGGAGGAGCTTCCGCTCACGGTCCTGGATACCACCAGCTTCGAGGAATCCGTGCTGAACACGGCCTGGTTTCAGGGTGGCCTGGACTCGATGTCGCTGCCCTACTCCGAGAAGATGCGGTCAGCGCCCGAGAGGTAAAGCCATGAGGTTTGAAGGCCCAGCCGTCCGAGAGAGCTCACTTGTTTGATGCCGAGCTAGACTTCACAACGGATAGCTATTTTACTTGCTGGTTGAAAAAGCCATCCGGTTCTTCAAGGTTTTTGGAGGCTTGTAGTTGCTGTAGTTGGCTTTCCGAATTTAACCCACTAAAAGTCAGACTCGCTTTTCGTCTGGGATCAGAGAACACGGACGGCGCTCCGGTCTGGGGAGCCTGTGAAGCGGCAGGGCAGGTGAGGAGCGCCAAAAACAACCCGCCGCGTAGGACCTACTACCTGGTTTCATACGGGTCATGGGAAAGCCTCCGATATTATGAGAATACACAGAAAGCCTTTGTTTATTACCATGTCAGACCCAAAAGCATCAAACGCCAACGGTTGCTGGGCGCTCAGGTGGTACTACAAGCCTCTGCAGCGGGGCGAGGGCTACAGGTTCATCACCAGCCCGCATGAAGGGCCCGGTGGTACCAGACGCTTCGAATTCCACTCACCAAAAAAAAAGAGTCGACGACCTCACCGGTAGGTCCTACAGAGTTTTGTCAAAACACTCTCCGCAACTCAAGACTCAAGCCCAAGTGGTTGTGTTTTTCTTGTTTTCCTGAGGGGGATTGGACTGTAAAACCCTTTTGCCTGTAGCCTCGTGGATGTGTCTCACACGCCCGGGCCGCCCGGGGCCTTGCACCGACAGGCGAATGAGTTGGAATGACCCTAATGTACAATGCTACCCATCGCAGATGGTTTCCTTTAAGGGAATCTCCTTCCGGTCCCAACACAGGGAAGGTCATTGCCTACTAAGCACCAGCAAGTAAGGGAGTTCTTGAACTTTGCCACAGGGTTTGTTTCGCGATCGATTCAGTCTTGGAGTTGCAGGCATGACTTCACGCACAAGGAAGAGTGCATAGCTGATTTCTCCAGCCGGGAGTGTGAAGTTCATGGCTTCGCCTTTACGACCTAGGGAACTTGAGGCTCAACACCCATGGAGTTGAGCCCGATCAAATAACGACCGTGGTAGAGTTATGAGTGCAGCTTAAAGCCACAATAAGCCACACAGCAGGAGCCCGAACATGCACAGCCGAGGATATGTGGGCAGTCCACATTCGGCGTTCCAAATCATGCACAATCCGCGGCTTCGCCGCACTCTTGAAAGATGACCGGCGATCAAACGCAGCATTTGGCGGGGTAGCCCCCCAGGCTTTGTTTGAGATAACTTGATTTTGGAGTTTGACTCGCTCGCAGAAGGCAGGTGTTGGGTCTCCTCCTGCCTTCTGCTTGTACGAAGGAGGGGATCTGAGCAAGTCAAGTTGAAACAATCCAGTGGCCTGCCTGTCGCACTTGCAACACCTTCCTACGAGCTCTGGGTGAAACGGCGGTTTTTAACCAACAACTTGAAGATCGATGTTTCCAGTGCATGCCGGTAGCAGCGCCTGCAAGCTTTCAAAGAAGCATAGCAATGAGGCTCTTGTTTGCCGCAGAGGTCCCTGCTTCTTCTATTCCAGCGAAAGAAGAGGCACACGCCTGGGCTCACAAGTGGAAGCCCTTTGTCAAACACGGTCTTTTCTCTTACTGCGGCATTTTGCGCGCAGCCTTCCTTCCATTTGCTTAAGAGCTCGTTGTATTTTTTTGTTTTGTTGGTTTTGAAGGGAGTCTATCACTGTTGGACATATGTTAATTCTTTCCAGGAGGCTTAACCAAATGGAAGTTTCAACACGTGTCCCGAAAAAGGAGGAGCTCGTCATTTTGGTAATCCATTTGGTTTCAGATTGCAGACCCTGTATCAAGACAGCTTGCGATCCCGCGAGGGATATCTCAGGAGCACCAACGTCACCCACAAGGCCCGCCAGAGCTTTGAGTTCCGGTGCTTGCTGAACCTCACTCCTTGAGTAGCGCTCTTCTTTTGATTCTTGGTATTTTTCCCTTGACCAGTAGATGAGTGTTTCATTTTTAGGGGGGGCCCGGCATTTGGGGTCGCGTTCCTTTCGGGTTCCCTTTACAACCACCAAGATAAGGTTGCCCACGAAATAAGAACACCCCCAGGCAAGAGGGCTTCCCTTTCCGCCTTTTCCGCAAGGATCGACCCTTCTTGGAGCCACGAGGCGGAGGCGGTAGAGCTGCCCGCCAGGCCGTCGGAGCAG